GACTGTGGGGGGGGGTAGACTGTGGGGTGGTGCCTCTTAATAGGGCCGCCGACAAGTGTCATGTGGCATTCTTTCATCAGTAGCAATACAACAATAGCAATTGCAAGAAAATAAACTATAATAAGAGCACCCAACAGTTAACAGAACCGCACATATGATGCAAAACCAGACATGCGAAGGCGCCAAATGGCGCACTTCGATCTTCAAATACTTCGCGCAGTAAAATTTTATAATTTTTTCTAATAAGCACCGGCAACTCATGTCGTGACATCATCACAATCAGAAGCCTGTCTGAAGAACGGAATCCCCTCTGTCAGCCACTGGCAGTCAAGTAGAAAAGAAATACCACTTAGGCAATAGTGTGTAATTATGAATAGGGTCCGGATGTTTATCAGTTGAAAACATTAGAAATACGCTAGCATCTATGACCTAAAAATATGAAAATATGCCCATAAGTACGACGTAAAATTGTTTTGGTTGCATTATCGAAACCCTTAAAATTTTCCCGTTGTTTAAATACCCATTATATTTCAAATACACTTCATAGAAAACATATTTCCATAGTGTGAAAAATTAACGGAAAATGACCAAAGGATTTAAAAAAGCCAAAACATGACTTTCTATGACACGTGAAAATTGCATAATTTTAGTTGTTGTGGATAAAATCATGCTTATCGTACATTTTCTTTGATAATAACGCAAAGAAAAAATATGACGTATACATCCCGGCCCTAATTATGAATCAAGTTAACGTAAGTACTTTGTTGTAAACAAATGCTTAATTATTTTTTAAATTTAGTAGTATTCACAGAAAATACGAACTTTCATGACTAGGTACTTAATTACAGTCTGTTCTTTTCAATATAATTCGAATATCATGGCAATTATTAGAATGTCGTTGAAAAATGTGAAATGCTCATATGTGTTTTACATTATTAGCATATGGTTCTCTAGACTTCCTTTCACAGCCCTGAAATGAAAAAGATTGTGGTTTCGAAAAGAAAATGTTTTTCGTAGCAAATAAAACATTAATAACCTTTAATGTTGTCGAACTCTAAATATATTCAAATTCCAAAGTAAAATTAAATATTTTACAGTGAGTTAGAGCCACATTGGTTTCTGGTTCATTTCTGCATATGAAAAAGCGCTGACAGCACTTGAAAGAGGTTATTTGGTAATAATTCAATCTAAACAATTAATGTCTCTATTTTGTATTGTGTGTAAAGGCGATGTTCAAATATTGAAACTGTCCACATCTTGACCCACCTAACGATTTCTTTGGTGAGTCGTTGACTTCAATTGTCACTGTTCTGCACTAACAATTGTTAATTTAAGTATTTTGATGGTAATCTTCAATTCCTAGAAGGTTCCCTATAGGGTTTACTAAATGACAGGGTCGTTAAGTTGTTATTTTAGAAACCTGACAATTAAGTAATTTTCCAAACACAAAGATAATATAATGCCCTACAGTAAGACACTACAGGAAGTGTTTATGTTAATACTTCACTACACTTAAATTAAGGTCTTGTTCTTACTCATTGAATTGTTGCAGTATTTAAAAAAATTTGAACATGCTATTTCCAAATGTTCTATTGTAAATCTTCATTGGAAATTACAGTCTTCCTTCTGCCGCCGTCACATTTCTTCCCCACAGTACGACACTCCAGCTAGTGATTTTATTTATCAATTTAGCAGAATTTTCAAATAGCAATAAAATCAAATTTGAAGTGGTGGGCAGCTCTGGGACGCATTGATAATTCTCCGGATCATCATGAAGCGTTACGGATTCGCAGGGGACCTCAACAAAAAGTGGTTTTCAAAAAAACTCATTTGAAAATTAATTGGATTGTTGGTGAAGTAGATACCGTTTTTTATTTTGATAAATAAATAGATATTGGCAGGTATCAATATTTTAATTCCTTCACCTCTGCTAAAATTAG